GGTGGTAAATATAGTTGTGTGTTATATTTTTTTTTTTTGTGTTTTTTTTTTGTTGGGGGGGGGGGGGTGTTTGGATATTTTGAAACATTTCATCTAATTGTTCTTTCCCGATAGACATCTTTCAGACCGCTGAGTGCTGAGCTCACCAGAAAGTTGGAAAACAGTTTATGAATCATAACTTTCTTAAACCTTATCACAAGAAAGCCAAATATTGAAGTTAAATTTGTAGAAAGATATTTTTCCTCACAATCCCTTGAAATCACACTAAACCTTTCCTGCTTTAGATCTTTTAGGATAACTGGTTGTTAAGTTTTTTATTGCGTTTTTTTGTTTGTTTTGTTTTTTTTTTAAACTCAGACATTTATTTACACTAAAGTCATTATGCCTTTAGGCAATGTTGGAAAGCTCAGATGAAGATGACTCAGCTTTGTAAGCGTCTGATGCGTTCATTAACAACATTCGAGGTAAACGGAGGACGACTGGTGGATTTTTGTAACGCAGTATCTCAAACACACTGCTTCATCATGACAAAAAAAATAAGTAAATCAAGATATAGAAAAAGAGAAATATTCAACCTTGGGCACAATTTCCATATGCCTGAATGTTATTCATAGAGGAAGAAACCGTTATTCTAATAGCGACAAAGCTATTGGTGAAGAGAAAGAGATTACAGTGAACAACACTGCAGCTGCTTGGCCAACATAATGTCCCATTTGGAGCTGGGATTTACAGAACTGCAAGTGGCTGTTTGGACTTTCCGTAATAGCTCCTAATAACTGGGGCTAATAATGATAAAGGAACAATTCATGTTTTTAAATAAAATTCAATATCAAATGCAGGTCTTTAGCTGTTTCTCTGTATTTTGAAGGAACAATTACTCAGAATTTCCACCGCACAATGACAATAAAAGTACCAGTGATGTTTTTCAGATTTACTTTTTGAAATAAATTTCATCAAATGTTAACAGGAGAAATGTATCTGTTTTTTTTTTGTTTTTTTTGCCAAACTTTCAACTTTTTCTTTATATTAAAAGCTAGAAATAGGAGTGAAATGGCCGATCTTTAAAAATGACATCACATTTTCTACAGTAGATATGCAACAAAGATTATGTTGTCATTGTTCAAAAGGTCATGTAGCATTTGTGGCTCTAAAGTTTTATTCAGCTTTAGTGAGGCGTAAAAGTGGTGCTTTGGTGAGGTCGTAGACTCCTGATTTGGAGTGGGTAGCTTGCTATCCTGAGAACACCATCCTTAAAGTGAAGCACGGTGGTGGCAACACCATGTTGCGGGACTGTTTTGCTGCAAGAGAGATTAGTGCACTTCGCAAAATAGATGTGAAGTGCACATCTGTATGGAAATGTCGAGGTAACATCTCAAGACATTAATCATGAAGGCAAAGCTTGGGGACAAATGGATCTTCCAAATGGACCATAACCCTCAGAATGCAATCTAATTAGTTCTAAAGTGGCTTAATGACAACAAATCCTGATAAAACTTTAATTTCAGGGCCAGAGGTGATCTGTGTGATTGATGCGGTTTCCAGACCTGACGCGGTTACACCAGTTTTTTAGGAGGAATGGGCCAACATTCCAGCAAACCATGTGATGACCTTCTGCAAGGAAACCCGAAACATCTGACCTAAGTCATACAGCTGAAAGACAATAGTAGCAAATAGTAAAAGGAATGCGAGTAAACCTTTGAAGTTTAATCAAAGTTAAACAAAAAATAACTTTTATTAACTTGGAAATCAGTTTATAAAAATAACTTTTGTATTCTTAGTAGTGAGAAACGTGCCTTTTTACAAAGTTTATTTTAATATCTGGCTTGACCTGCAATATAAACAAGGCAGAGCAGCACTAATGATGCCTAATTTTACATATTTTCAGCAGAAGAACTTTGTGTCTTGATCTGAATTTTGGTGTTAATCTTGAATTGATTTATGGAACAGGCCTGTAACTATGACTAATTTTGCTGGATGATAAATTGTCCCAGAAGTTATTGCAATAAATGATAATATTGGTGTTTTGAGACCATTTTCAAGTAATATAGAGATCAATAAACTCTCAAATCTAATGAACATTTAACACTGGATCTTGAAACTGTGTCATATGAATGTGACACAGTTTTAATCACAGCTCATCTCCGTTAATCCCAGTGGAAATCTCTGTTTTGATTCTTGACATCCTTCCTTTTTTGTTTCCTCGTTCGCCTGAGTGCCATTTATCAGAAGGAACTGTGGAATATCACGGTGGACAGTTCGTTCTCGACCCACGGGTCACGTCCTTGAGGCCGAGTCAATTGAGCGAGGGAATATAATGGTCTAAAAAAAAAAAACAGTCTGCAGAGCCGCGCTGTAAATAGCACAATGAGCTGAAACCGGTTTGCAACCATTTCCCCCGCTTTATTCACTGTGTGAGTCAGACAGAAAGTCAATCAGTGCCATTACTATGTACACCCATGTCCTCACACCTTAACCTCAGGTTCACATGGAGATGAAAATGTTAAAATGTAACACGACATAAGCGGCATCCTATGAATTATTGATGCAAGGACGTTCTCGTTCGGCAAACTGCTCCGTCTGGCTGCTTAGTAGAGAACGAGTGTTTTTCTTTTTTTTTTTCTGGAGTAAAATCTCCTTTTTATGGCCTGAATAAAGTTTGTTTACTTCTAAACAAAATGCTCTGAGCTGATTACCTTCAGTGACAGGAGCGGAAAAGTACTTTCTTCGCCTGGGAGTTTTCAGGAGGTACATTGTGTCTCCTCGTCGTGAGTTCACGCACATCTTTCCCCTCCGCGAGGCACGTAGAGGTTGTGACAGGAATGCAAACTAGAGAGGCCAGATTTCTTGAATGCAACTCTACTGTAATGTGTCGAGTTAATGATCCACGTGACGACGTCTGTGCAGAATGAAGGGAAGGGTCGTGGTTGGTTGTTGTGCAGAGATCGGTCAGAGAGAGCCAACGGAAACATTTGGATTCGGTGGGTTCGAGTTCAGCAGCAGTGATTAACCTGCTCTCTGCTCTCTTGCATAAAACAACTAATTTGGAGAATTTCCATTTTTGGACTGACAAAAATAGACATGGGAAAACACAAAGCAGTGCAGAATTACAAACCAAAGACCTGTTGAGTGGGGTCAATATTTTGCAGAAGCATCTTTTAATGCAGTTATAGTTGCATTTTTTTTTTGTTTTGTTGTTTGTTGGTTATGTTTTTAAGAGTTTTGCACATCTACAGAATTAAATTCTTCTTTTCAAAACAAGATCAGTCAAACTGAACACACTGCAAAATCACAAAATTTCACCAAGTATTTTTCCCCTAGTTTCTAGTGCAAATATCTAAGTACACTTGAAATAAGACAAAACTAGCTTACAAGTTAGAGGAGCTTGTTTTAAGTTAATAATTCCTTAATATTGATTTAAAAAAGCTTCTAGTTCCACTGGCAGATTATTTCACTTATAACAAGTCATTTTCCCTGTTATAAGAGAAATAATCTGCTTGAAAACCATGCATCACTTTTCTTCCACTTATCATTAATGAACTCTTTCATGCTGGACTGTCATATAAAATTCCAGCAGCATGCTTTAAAGTTTGTCGTAATCTGCCAAAATGTGGAATTATCGAAGGGGTATGGATACTTTTGCAAAGCACTCATTCTATTGTGACATCCTGAAAACAGGATGTCACAATAGAAACAGATTTAGTCGCGTTTGGCGAAGCTCCCTGTTTGATTACATAAACATTTCTACTAAGTGTTGTGGTGATTCACAGGGCATTCTTCTCTTTATGACTACAGATGCTTTTATCATCAGTCTCCATCAGAGTGTTGATGCTTATGGTCCCATTTATAATAGAATGAAGAAATGAATATGAATAATATGATTATAAGTTATAGGACTATAACTTTTATCTTTACATACTAGAACAGTGATTTAGCTTCTGCTTATCTTGCAGGATGGTAAGCAATGTCAACTTGGAATAAACCGCAGATGAACAGAGGAAATTAAACAATTCTTTCCAAATGCAAAAAAACCCCAAAAAACAATTGTTCTTGTTCTTGCCACCTTGAGTACAGGCTAGTGCATCATGTTCAATTACAAAGAAATTTGACTGTTTACTCAAGGCAGCAAAAACTGGTCAGGATATTTCATACTTTACAACAACTCCAGTGCAGAACTCTTGAGAAGTCCTCATAGGGACCGCCCACTGCTGCTTTTGTTGGTATAGTAACCACACCCACTTCAAATTTCTGATAAATCTTTAAAAAATTGTGGAACACTTAACACCTGCCAGATGATGTGTAAAAAATAAGCTGCAAGAATTACTAAACCAGGCCTACAGGAACAGAATGATCTCACATTTCCTAAATTAAACTAATGCCTTTAACAATTGAACTACATTTTTTTCTCCTTCTCTTTTTAGGTGTTATTAGCTGGTGCTAAGGATGTTTTTGTTGTATCACCAGGCGTGGAGGTAGTCCTACATCATTTGTGTGTTGTTCCCCCTCTGAACCTGGGAGTGGCGATGGTCCACTGGACCACAGTGTGGGGGACATGCATCCGGCTCCAGACTCTGCTGGCCTTTGCCTTGGCCAACTGTCCCTCACAGACCCCCAGCCCGGTCAACTTCTCTGTCGTTTACACCATGCCCTTCTTTCAGGCACAGGGACCCATTCAGAACATAGTGAACAACTCAATTTACCAGGAAGTCTACGTGGCCTCGAAGAATGTCATCGAAGCCGTCAACAGGAGTCTGGAAAAGGCCTGGGAGCTCCGCACTGGGCCGGTTGGAAGCCCAGAGTGTCGCATATGCAACTTATGCGATATCGATAAGGATTACAACTTTCTGGAGGATACGGACAATCAAGTGTTGGTGTTGGACACTCCTTTTATGTATTTATATTCCTGTGGAAGCTCTCAGTATGGTGTTTGCTATTTTCATCAGCTGAACTCAAACGGAGAACTACCTTCTCGCTCTAAGTGTCTGTTCAGGAAGAGTGCAAACTCTGCTGCTTATTGTCCAGACTGCGTGGCGAGCCCTCTTGGTACCAAAATGTCAATGGTAGAGGAGGGCCAGGCAGTCTACTTTTTCGTTGCTGCCTCTGTCAATGATAGCGTTACCCAGCGTTATGGAAGGAAGTCGATATCAGTCCGCAGACCACTGGCCACAGAGGATGGTTTCTATAGTGATGTGCGAGGCCTTACTGTCCTGCCCACCCTCCGGAGGACTTACCACATTGACTATGTCTACAGCTTCTTCACTCAGGAGTTTGTCTACTTCCTCTCGGTCCAAAGAGAGAGCCCAGATCAGGAGTCATCTCCGTTTCAGACTCGCCTGGGACGTCTGCCACGGAGCGAGTGGGAGGTGAAGAGGTATCGCGAACTGATCCTGGAGTGTCGCTTTGAGCCTAAGCGTAGGAGGAGGAACGTTCGCGAGCCCTACAAGGACGTTGTGTACAACGTGGTCCAGGCGGCCTACTTCGGCAAGGCCGGCAGGGAACTGGCGGAGGAACTGGGGGCGGAGGAGGAGGACGACATCCTCTATGGGGTGTTTGCTGTGACTGATGACAATGGGGTGACGGAGAATGACTCGGCTCTGTGCGCCTTTCCTATGGACAGCGTGAACAAGGCGATCATTGACGGCGTTGATGATTGCTGTCAGTCTGGACCAGAGCAACTCTCCAGAGGGCTTTGCCACTTCCAGCCGTGTGAAAGCTGTCCACATGAGGTGAGTCTATTGGTTCACAACAACAACAGAACAAATCCACTTCATTGATGTGATACTTGATGTAATGGAAAGGTCCGCAGTTCCATTTATGGACTGCAGAGATGGTAGCTTGACTTAGAGTTGTTGTCAGGAACTCAGGTCTCATTCACAACCTTTAACTTAGGCAATCAAGGGAGAAAGTAAAAATATAAAGTTTTTATTTATATTAATTAAAATGCTACTTGTTATAAGAGGACATATTTTCCTAGGCAATGTAATAATCCTGTTAATTTATAATAATTGTCCTTATTTTAGTCAAAGATTATAGTTCAGTAGAAAATTGTGTATCGGACTCACAGGAGTGTAAAGTATTTACGCTGTCAGTGTGCCCTCTGGTGAACTTATTGCACAAAAAAAATTTATTTTTATAATAATAATTTCTCATGACATTAACTAAATGTGTTATTGGACTTTACAACACTATGTCCCATGTTTTCATGAAAAACACTAATTTACCACTCTATCTTTTCTCATGTTTGATTATTGGAGTGACTGTGGCTCTGTGAGTAGAGTAGTCATCTTGTGATTGAAAGATTGTAGGTTTGATTCCAACTTCCACCTGCCACACACTGATGTGCCACTGAGCAAGGCACTTAACTTAACACGACCTACTGATCTGTGTGTTTGTGAGTGAGAATGGGTGAATGTGACTCTAGTGTAAAGCACTTTAATGGTCAAAATGACTGGAAAAGCACTATATAAGTTCAAACCAGGGCTGCACAGTTGGTAGAGCTGTTGCCTTGCAGCAAGAAGGTTCTGGGTTCAATTCCCAGTCTTTCTGCTTTCTTCCTTTCTTTCTATGTTGCCCTGCAACAGACTGGCATCTATGTGATGTGGAGTTTTAATGATTTATAACGACATGCCCATGTTAGCTGTGGTTTTATAATAACAACCACAGATGTTTCTCAAACTAAATCTGTAATAAATAACTTACGATAAAATAGACTAAACTTACCCTTAGGCGAGTGACTTTTCGTTTTGTTGTTAAGACGCTTTTCAAAATAAAATTGATTTGTTAAGAAATTCAACTTTCTCTCTTAATCACTCGTAACATTGTGCCTCTGTCTGTAATTGGTGAAGTACCCTGGGATATTTTTGCTATTTAGACTTAATAAGAAAACATAAATGCAGATTTAGACCATTTTTTTAAAAATAATTTGGCAAATTGGAATATGTAGAAATATTTTTGTTTTGTGCACTTTACAGTGAAGGAGTGGGAAATGTTTAAATTTGAACTAACAGGTGTTCATGAAACTATTTCCTGTTTTCCTTATTGTCATGTCAAAAAACTGGCGACATCCTCAGGGTGTGACCCGCTTCTTGAACAATGACCGCAAACGCACATGTACACACTCACACACGCACACAAACGTGCACTCACACACTCACATACATCACATACACACACACACACACACACACGCACGCACGCACGCACGCACGCACGCACGCACGCACGCACGCAACAACGTAAGAACAGTTGGGTATAGAAAATGAATGAATGACTCTTCCCTATCAGATTTTTTGTTTTACCTTTACGTCAAAAGGTATAAACAACAGTTAAGGCTGAATTTCAAAATCAGTCAAACTGCAAGTCCTTTTATTTTGAAGAACCACAATAATCTTTGAAAGGTAATTGTATGAGTAATTAGCAGCTCTTCATTAGCAGCTCTTCATGACAGGTTCTGAAAAAGATAACGTTTAAATGTTAATGCATAAACTTAGGCTTAATGAAAAAGCAGATGTGAACATAATTTGCACTCATAACTTAGACACTAAATTGCATGCATACAGATACAATGTTTGCCTCATTCATTAGACTTGATTTGGGACTCATGATTGTTTTATTACGTGTGACTGATCTGAATTGTGCTGGAACGAGAGAATATGATAAGATGAGAATGAGATCAGGTAATTGATAAGATTGTATTTACAGGAATACATTTCCTTAATTACTGTTCAGGTACAGTCGCTGGATGAAGAATTATCACTGCATGTGAAATTTTAAAGTATCTTTGGCATGTTTCAACAGCTTAGGACTGGTTGAAACGAGTGGAGCGATATATGATTATTTTAGCCAAAAGAAGTATTTCTGACTGAAAAAAAAAGTATAAGAATTATCTCTTCACATGTTAAGGCAGGTGCAGCACAGCTGTAGAAAAATAATCTTAATATGCCTCATGAAAGAAAGCAAAGCCATGAGTCATGTCTTAAATTTCTAACGTGAACAACCTGACATGGATCGAGTTAGATGAACACAAAGAAAAAGCCCTGGAGAAGTCTTTAAATAAAACCAGCAATTCCTTGGAAGCACCATGTTTGAGAAAAGTCTATAAAAACAAATTGTTTAAGATCAAATCCAGAAACAATTAAGATGGAAAAGTTGGTTATTTTAATCCAGGGTGACATAATTTGCATTTGTGAAGAAGTGTAGAAACAACATGTCGCACCATAATGTTACTTTGGTAGCTCAAGTGGGACATTAAGGGACAAGGGTGTAAAGAAAATGGATGGATGGATGGATGGATGGATGGATGGATGGATGGATGGATGGATGGATGGATGATATTTATTGATGCTCTTGTGGGACAAATGGTAAAAATAACATTTCTGAACAGGCAGTCAGTTTTTGTTTTATTTTAACATCATTACTTGGAATTTATAAAGACAACGATAAATCCAACTTCTTTTCATCACTATAAATGTTTCATAACTGAAAAATGTATAGTGATGTTATCTGTCTGTCTGTTTGTCTTATCTATTTTATCTATCTCTAGTTTTCTTGAGCAGGAGGAGAGGAAATCTGGGTTACAGATTTCTTTTTGGTTAAAAAAATGCCATGAAAAAGTTCTTAGGGAAAACATCTCACTTCCTGTTCAATGTTATTATTATTACTATTGTTTTATAAAATAGTTGCATGATGTACAGAAAATTGCATATTTTTTTAGGATATTATCGTCTCACAGCATATGGTGTGTTAATTCTCCAGGGGAAAGCTTAGAAAAAGGCTACTTATTTTCCCAATTCTCATGCATATTTCCCATAGCATACATGCTTTCTCTGCTTTGGCACCAGTGCTACCAGTAGGGAGGAGGACTGGTAACGTGGGGATTGTGGTGAGAAAACCTTTTCCATTAAGTCCCATGTAAACAGCTGTCTTGGAGAATTCATGGGAAATTTTATGGCTGAAACTTTTGCAACAATATTTAATAGTTTGGATGTTACTTCATTTTAGTTAGAGATTTAAACACAAGATCCATAGTAACTTCACAACTAAGTTTTATTGTTCATAGTGGTTTGTTTTGAAGTTATGCAGTTATGTTACAACTAAACAGTGTTTGTAATGTTTCTGATAGTCTGTCTTTTATTAAAATTAGAATGAAATCTCCTTTCCTCAGGCTTCCTCTACTCTAAATATTTCTTATCCAGCCACATGTGTTGTCCAACCCTCTTTAATGCACTCAAAAGTCCAAACCACCTGTGCTAATAAAGAAGAGTAGAAAATATTATCTGAGACTGAAATGTTTTTGTTGATTTTTTTTTTCTGGACAAATTTTCAGGTGGAATTTGGTCTGGAGTTTTTTTTTTTATCACATTATTTGGTATTTATTATGATAACAATAAAAGTAGTGATAAAAAATGTATGTTCAAATTCATAGCAGTCTCATAAATATTGCCCTTATGTTTTTGGGGCTTTTCAGACCTTAATTGTATCGTTTTTACAATAAATAAAAAATTCTGAACACATTAAGGACATTTTTCTCCAAAGCTCCACAATAAATGCCCGTCCTTAATTAAAAACACATTTCACCATGAGGATTGTGTCCAGAGTTAGTTTTAGTCCAAACAAAGTAATTACATTTTTGTTTTGGTCCACTGGTTAAGGAGGAACCTTTTGTGTATTTGCTAAGTCACTTAACGTAGATCTATTGAACATAAACTCATAAACTGAAAGTAGGAGCTGTCTCACTGTCGCATTTACACATAGCAGAAATGCTAGCAAAGAACCAGTTCTAACATAGCCTCCATCAATCCCACTTTAGCTATATACATAAAAAACAACACAGACAGCAGAATTAAACTAGCACTGAAAATGAGCATCTAAACAATGAGGCACTGTAATTTAATTTGTTGTAGGCTGTTTCTTTAGGTCTGACACTTTGTCTTTGGACATATTGTGATCCACTCTTTCTAACTTTTTAAGCACATACATTAAGATACATGTGTTATCAGCGATGGCCACAGAGACTGGACAGAAACACAAATGGTAAAGAGCCTAAGATGTTCTCCTGATGTGAGAAGACCCATCTCTGAAGTCTCTTTATGGTGTCCTTTGCTTGCCAGTGTTCCCACTGCAACCAGTAGAGGAAACAAACAAACCATTTCCCAATAGAAGCCCACGTACTCCCATTACTCCATTGATCGATAACATTAAGGTAATCAGAATATTGGAACATAATTCTTCATGGAGATTACTAAAACCAAAGTTCATGTCATTTATAGTCATTAATTTTGACCTTTTTGGCCTTTTTTTTTTTGCAATAAACAAACATTTGTTCCTTTAGTAAGCTGCTTTTAGTCAAGCTTAGATCTAACTTGTGCTCTGTTGCTATCTGCAAGGCAATCTCTCTGTCGGCATTGCATCATCTGATCATCTATCACGGCTTGTTACTTAATCACATTATCACCTTGTGCGTCTGGTGTGCCGGGTCTTTTTCTCATGGTCGTCGTGGTGACGAGCACACCTTGCCCCACGTCTCCATGTGAGCCTGGGCACATGTGTCAGCTTGTAAAGATCAAATCTTGAAGGTGGATAATGTATCATTTTTATGACGCTGGCTTTAACCTGACATGCCCAGTTGTCAGGCTCATATTGTTTTTGTCAAGCTAACATAAAAATGATTGCTGATTTGTAGTTAAATTGCCTATAAACATTTGCCTGTAAGTATTAACACGCAGTCTTTAGGAGCAGATGGGTTTGTTTGTCTAGCTGTTGAATGACGTTTGGTAATATCTGACCCTGAAAGCAGCAACTCCAGTAAAAGCAGACTTGTTCTTTCAGTAGCGGGGAGGTGGACGTGTTTTTGAAGTTTGTAGACATCATCAGCATTTCAGTGTTAGAACGTAAAGACTGCCTACTTTTCTGGTCACTGTTTCCTCTCTGTTTGCTCCCCCTGGTGGTGGCGTCAGAGCATGGAGAACAACGCCACATGCAACGACCATCCCACCATGGTGTCCAAGCCGTACTACAGAGTGGACCTCTTCAACAGGAAGATGACCAACGTCCTGCTCACCTCTCTCCTGGTGACGACCATAGAGAACAAAACCGTTGCTCACATTGGCACCTCAACTGGACGTCTGCTTCAGGTATGTCGCGTTGTTGCAAAAAAAAAAAAAAAAACCTCAACTAAATAACGATGCTTTGCAAATTGCAAGGGGGTGTTGGGTTACAGTATATTCACCTCGTGAGATGGTGCAATACATTGTGATTTTAGTACTAGATTCTGGAAAACCAAGCTAGGATTTTTTTTTCCGCAAATAGAGTAAAGGCTTCACAAACTGTCTTTAAAAGAATCTGTAATCATTAGCTTAGAATAATCCAGTCCACAACTGACTAGAGATGCACTGATTCGACATCATATTTTTTGCCAAGAGAGTCAACCTATTATTTTTGTCAGTTTCTTTTTTTCTTTTTTTTTCTTTTCTATTGGTTGTTTGACTCCTGGGCTGCACAGTGGTGCAGTTGGTAGAGCTGTTGCCTTGCAGCAAGAAGGTTCTGGGTTTGATTCCCAGCCCTGGCATAGAGTTTGCATGTTCTCCCTATGCATGGGGATACTCTGGTTTCTTCCCACAGTCCAAAAACATGACTGTCAGGTTAATTGGCCTCTCCAAATTCTCCCTAGGTGTGTGTGCATGGTTGTTGGTCCTGTGTGTCTCTGTGTTGCCCTGCGACAGACTAGCAACCTGTCCAGGATGCACCCCCCTCTCACCCGGAATGTTAGCTGGAGATAAGCACCAGCACTCCTGCCGACCCCACTAAGGGACAAGGGTGTAAAGAAAACGGATGGATGGATGTTCGACTAATTGCACTGTTGTTGTTTTTACATTTTTGTCCAAGCTTGTCAAGCTATTGGTGTATTGAAGTGTCAGTACTGGTGCAGAGTTATTAAGTAAATGTGTCATTCACTACATTTATGTCTTTGTTTAAAAAAAAATGAAACGTCTTAAGTCAATTCAGCGCCATTATTTCGGCTCATATCGATAAAAAATAATGTATCCGCCGATATGATCCGATGCAAAACCTCAGATATCAGCATCGGTATCGAAAGTGAAAAAAGTGGATTGGTGCATTCCTATGATTAATTAGACCTTATGTTGTGCTTTTTATCTTGATCTAATCTGAAAAAAAAAACATTTAAAATACTTGGTTCTTGTGTTTTCACAAGTAGAATAAAATTTCATTAACAAGTTTAGTGCAGCATTAGGAGTAGAGACGATGAACAGTATTCTCACTGGTGACCTGTCTATCGCCCAGTGATAGGTATCAGTGATGGATGGTTGGATGATCAATATATTCACCCATAAAAAATAACTTATATATATATATTTTTGAATGTCTTAGCACATGCTATGCTATGTCTGTGTGTGCAGCTTGTGTTGACAAGATCCAGCCCAGACATCTTTGCCAACTACTCCTTGGTGGAGAATCAGAGGGTGTCTTCTATTGCTGCTGTTTACTCCTCGGAGTATCTACTATTTGTAGTTGGAGACAAGGTACGGTAAAACGGCGCATTTCTCTGGTCAAATATTGTAATCAGCTGATATTACGTCACATTTTTAGTTGAGCTCTCAGGTAGAAGGTGTAAATCTTTTCTCCAGCGGTTTAAAGACATTCCTGTAAGGTTTTATTTCAGTCCATGCCTGAATGTTTTGAGAAAGCAGAGTCTGTGTAGATGGATGTTAGATACCGGATCAGTTACTGCATTTGTCAAACTTAGCACTCTTAACAACAGAAAGGCTTTGTTACAATATTAAAGGTATCCTGAAAACAAGTTGGTCTTTTTCAAGACGTTACTACCAAAACTATGCAAAGGAGCGCCGGTTATCAACATTTAACAGCTTCCTTTTTAGAAAACCATTTTTTCTTCCTCTTCTTATCTATGACTAAGTAATGCATTTGAATTTAACTAAAGTAGTTAAATATTTCAATTCAAATGTGTTTAAAACACAATGTTTCACACATATAGTAATCAGAACATCAATTCTTGGGGATCATGGTTGCAAAATTATTTCAATCTGATTGCAAGTTAACAAAAACATGCAACCGCTTCCTCACTCTCACTATTATAAGTTGTAGTAGTGTTTTTTATAAGTACATGACTTTTGAAATGTTTCCCTTACTGTACAGTATTTTTGTTCTTTATTCAGCTTTTTGTACGTATTTTATATTCTATCTTTGTGTGAGTCTATTTGCTGTGTATCTACTCTCTTCTATTATTTTTAGACAAGCTCAAGTAGAAAATCTGTGTCTGAAGTGCTGAATGAACTGTTGCAGAATAAAGTGGTCTTTGAATGAGTCGACTGATTTCACTGTTCAGATGATTCAGGTGCCCCAGAGGGGCCCCGGCTGCCAGCACTTCATGACCTGCGTCACGTGCCTGACGGCCCCGAAGTTCATGGGCTGCGGTTGGTGCTCTGGAGTGTGTTCATGGAAGAGCGAGTGCCACAGCCGCTGGAGGAATGAATCCTGTCCACCCGGGATCAGTGGGGTAAGGTTTGCGCTGCGATCAAAGACACAGGTGTCTCTTTTTAACACCATAAGGTGTTGACTTTGTATATTGAAGTCTGTAATTTCCTCCTTCTGCTTATGCAGTTTTTTCCAAGGACTGCTCCCCCTGATGGACAAACGGAGCTTATGGTGTGTGGATGGGAGTTTCAGTCGCCGCTTCGACCCGCTATCACCTCCAGGACCCACCAGGTCCGACTGGGACAGACCGCCTGCACTGTGATTCCACTCAAAAGCAACAACACGCAGTGAGTGAACTTGAAGGGTTAACTGTTGTCGTTCTTTGTTTAATAGTCAATGCGCTCTGGAAGAATACAAAACATTAAAATAAAATTTTCTCTAGACAGAAAAAAGAAACCTTTAGGTTCTTGTAGGTTTGCTCTCATGTCTCCAGCATGCCTCTCACTTTTACTCTTACTCAGACAAATCTCATTTTTTCATTCCCTAATTTATTTATTTAAATTAGGACAATGCATGTTAATGTCATATATAAAGAGAAACTCGGCAGATTGTGAGAAAATGGAGCAATTGTGCCCACCATCACTGTGAAAGGACGGTCATTAAAGAGACCGGGGAAACATAGCTGCCGAGTACGAAGAGCGCTGAAGCAGCAACATGAAAAAGTAAAATTAATTTAGGCATCAATGAGTGAATATGATAAAAAAAAAAAAAAAAACTATTGGAAGCTGTTGAAGAATTACAATTTATGAACTACAAAGGCTTTCAGAGGATGTTTGAATTGAGGAGGTACACACTGAAGTGAAATTGTACCGCTAGGAATTTTTATAAGTTTGGATAACTTTACACAAAACTTGTCCCTCACTCCAGAGCTACATTCCCAAAGATGTCCGCCCCTTCTCCCTAACTCCCCCCCAAAAATTCCACCTGCAGTCCGATTCCCACTCCACTTGTTATTGTAGAAACAAAACAGTTTTGTGTTTTCCTGTTCAAAACAAATACACTACAAGGACGCTGTGCACCTCTTTTGACATGTTATTGTCCTTGATCATCCTCATAAGGTTACCAAAAAAATCAACATGGCAGCTTACAATTTTATTTTTTAATCTTGACCATTATCATAGTTTGTTTTGTTAATTTGTCACCCCTAAAATTTTGTAAAATTATATTGTCCTCACAAAAAATGTAATGTTTCTATGTAAAGAGAAACTTTAACCATTTAAAAAAAAAAACAGGATATTGTTGTTAAAATCAGATGCAGGTTGTTTGCTGATGACTCGCTGATTGTCTGTCATTTGCTTCTGTCAGTTTAGTGTGTAAGATTCGCTCTGGGACCTCTGAGCCATTCAAGCCGGTCAACATTACAGTGGACGTGCATGAGGGCAAGGTGGAGGGCCGCTACTCTATTGATGGCAAGGCTGAAGCACCAGGGTTCACGTTTGTGGTAACTATGCTCACCCTTCTGTCAGACCCGGAAAATTACCTGTTCATAGTGACTAATTTGTAAATAAAGTTGCTTTAAGTAACTTTTTAACCAAAACAGAGTCACTTTCCCTGTAGGTTCCAAACATCACAGAAATCCAGCCCAACTACGGACCGCGTGTCGGAGGAACGCTCATCACGATCACTGGGTTCCACTTAGATGCTGGAAAGAACAGAAGAGTCACTCTGAATGAAGTACCCTGCCATATGAGAAGGTGAACAGTGGATTTGGATATTTCTAAATCTCAAAAAACATTGAGATAAGTTGGTTCCAGAGGCTTAAGGTTATGTCTGTTCCCACGGGGGCCACAACCAAACAGGCTTCTACCATCTTATAGCAACTCCAGTGACAAGAACTGCACACTAGTGTGGGCAAATGCTTTCTTAATGACCTCCAAACCATTTTCATCTTTGCGTTGAACAAGTTACTGGAAATTTCAATAACTCTTTTTATGGCTTCACTTACTGTTCATCCAGATTATTTGGTCCTAGAGGCTAAAGCTAACAGCTAATCTGAGAAGACAGACTTATAGCATCTTCAAACAACTAAAGTGCCAAAAACTGAACACTGATTTGTTGAAATTCTGTTTTAAGGGCCTTCAAACCATTTCCATGTTTGCATTAGCGCTGCTGTTCCCACAGAAAATCTAGTCAGAGTTGAACCTGGTGGTAGTTCGCCATCAGTGACCTTCCAGTGTGAAATGCGTACCAAGAGCAGAATATGTACTTGGATAGTTTCTCTGACTGGAGATGCTTTACATGTTTCCTTCTCAGTATATATTTCACTCAGGAAGATCATTGGTGGTGCGCAGCCTCCCACGTCCATTTTCTCAGTAAATAATCTTTAGTTTGTATGTACATACCCACCCAATGCAAACTTTTGCAGGTATTTTCCATAAATCCCCATTGAATTTTTTAAGTTGTGAGTTGTTTAAAGGCTACAAAAAGCATGTTTTGGTCTTGGCCCCTCTTACCAGCCTCAGCCTGGATTTATACTAGGACACCAAGAGTTATCTACTACAGAAAAGATATTAGCTGCTTATAACCTTCAGACAGAGCCTCATTTATGAATTTATGAATTATTCCTTTAATCATTGAATTGCTGGATGATTAAAAGACATGATATTTGCTCATACATTTTATTGCTGTGACCCAACAGTCAAACTTGTTCAAACGTGCTTTACTAGTTAGTAATCCGCTGACTGAAGCAGTGGAATAATTCAGCTCATTTTACTGTAATCTTCACCTAATGGGAAAACTGGGAAACGTTGGAGAGCATTTCAGTTTAATTCACATTTTTGTTTCTTCAGGTCCAAATTGGTAGCCAATGTTTCGTCCATCATCTGCTTGTCCCAGGCCATCTCGGAGGTGAGGGATGTCCCGCTGAGCGTTTTCATCGACAAATCTCAAGTCCCCAACACAAAGGTGTTTTACTACAAGGAAACGCCAAAGATCACGAACGTGCTGCCCGACTGCAGCTTTCACAGGTTGGCCACACAGAGACCTCAGCCCAAGCAGCTAATTTTATCTGGAACATAAAAGGATGTCAAACTGTGGAAGATGTTGAATTTAACATGACTTGTCAATCTTGGAATGAAAACGCAAACGTCTTTGTTATTCTCTCTGAACGTAGAGGTTCAAAGATCGTGATCGAAGGGGAGAACCTCGACTCGGTTTACCGCACCTTAATCCGCTTTAAGCCCAACGAGAGCCACCTCAGAGCAGTAACAACGGTACGTTTTGACTGTGTTTTTTAAGGGTCATGTGACCCTAAAAAATGTCCTTTTGGGTTATTGATTTTGACCGTGTGCTGAGAGCTAAAGTTTCGCCCCGGTGTTTGGCTCTAGGAGTGCTTTGGGAAGTCCCTGCCCACCCGGATGGAATGCGTCACTCCGGCGTTCCAGAGGGATGAGAGCGAGGAGGGCCTGCTGTCTTTTGACATGGATGGCGCCGTGGGACTTTGGAACAAAGAGTTCTCCTATCACCCCTACGGAGAACCCATTCCTTTTGAAACAGAGGGGCATGTGCTCAGTTTGTATCCTGGGTTTGACGAAGTGTCCCTTCATGTAAGTGATTAGCTTATTTATAATTACTCTGACAATATTGGAATTAAATGCTTAGCGGCCACTTCATTAGGTACACCTCACTAGTACTGAGTTGTGGGTTTGTATATTTTTCAGCTGGAGGTGTCCGTCAGAACACGGGTACATTGTCGTCACAAAGGGACGAATATTGGCAGCGACAGGCTGTGGTGTTTAAATGTTTAGTTGCTGCGAAGAGTTTCACCAAAACAGCATCTTCCACTCCATTACACCATCTTTCTGACCCAGCCCTGGGAAAAAATGGCAGCTAAGATCGAGACTCATTGGACCAGGCAACATTTTTCTAATCAGTTATTGTCCAATTTTTGTGAGGAAAATCATACCTTTCCTTACACCCTTCAGTTCTTTGCTAACATGGCCATTGCCCTCCTATGTAATTCTGCTGGATTCTAATCCCATTAAACTGCTGTGTCTGGGACTTCTTTCACTGAAGAGATCCAGTCTCTGCAGATTGTCTCATTTTCAGACCATTCTCTATAATCCTGAAAGATGGTGTCACTTAAATCCTCGTTCTTCCCCATTTTAATGCTCAGTTTGACCTTCAGACAGAAGTCTTTGTCATATCTAAATACCCAGGCGTATCCGAATGCTGCCATGTGATTTGCTACTTCCCTACTCGCGTTATTGAGTGATTGAACTTGTGTATCTGATAAAGTGGCTGGTGAGTATACAGTATCGTTTTAAGTTCTTCATTAGACTTGTTGTTCTCAGCATAAGAAGCTGAACCTGGTGAGTTCCTGCATGACCATCGTCATGACGGTGGCCGATGTCGACTGCGATGCCAAAGTCCTGGATAATGAGATAACCTGCAGGATCCCTAAAAACATCACCATTCCCAGAGAGGGACTTCCAGTGAAGGTTGGTCAGGTTGTGTTTTTATGGAAAAGGATCACGTTGTGAAGAGGATCTGTTCAGGCACACATTGAACACTCTTTTAGTTGACCTTTGACTCAGGTTTAAGCGTGACAGAGGGAACAAGAGGGCAGTGGCTGATAAAATATTTAGCTAGACTTTTTTAGTCATACAATAGATTTAGTTGAAGTTCAGAGCTAGTCAGACTATATCCAAAGGTTCCAGCTGGAATCTTTGTATTTGCATGTTTCTGGTACTCATTAAAAAATGTTAATCAAGTCACGCCACAGTTTTCTTGATTTAGGTGTACATTATATCTCAGTGGAAAATTTACCCAAATGTTTTACACTAGGCTTTTGATCTTTGATTTTTTTTTGTTAAGCCCTAGAACTGACTGAGAGTATACTTTCTTTTAATCATGACTGATATTTTCTCCCCTGTAAATGCAAAAACAATGGTGTCAAATTACACCACAGAACTTCTCATTTTTCAGGTGAAGCATTTTAGGCTTCAGGAAACACAACTTTGCTTTAAACACTTGGAGGACTGCAAGGTAGTGCTTAGCATCAAAAAGGAGATAGTGCAAAAATAATAATACTTGCAGTGTGTGTGTGTGTGTGTGTGTGTGTGTGTGTGTGTGTGTGTGTGTGCGCGCGCGTGTGTGTTGTCTGCACTCCAGATCTCCATCAACGGCCAGGTTCATAATGTTGGCACGGTGGTGAGGGTCAACAACCACTACATGGTGGGGATAGTTCTGGGAATCCTGGCGGCTCTGGTGGCCGGGGCCGTGCTGGCCTTTGTTGTGATGAAACATTTGAGAAAGAAAAAGAAAGGTAGGTCCTTCTCTCTTTCTCTTTTTCTCCCTCTCTCTCTCTCTCTCTCTCTCTCTTTCTTGTGTGGACCTTGATCAGAGTTGTTTATAAAACTGTCGCTAGGTATGGATTGAGTCTTGAATGGGTAACAAAAGTCTTTCAACTAGAACAACGCAAGTTTTTGACCGGATGTCCATGCGCTTTACTTTTTTTTGGTAGGGGTTGATGATTAAAAACAAAACAACAACAAAAGCTTTGTGAAATGTCTTTCAGCCTCAATGATAGAAGCCCGGTTGTCCCACTCTGCCACTCGCTCTGTGACCAACACTGTGGAACTGTCTTCCACGGGAGACTACAGGAGAGGTAACTTTAGAAACATATTCACACCCCTTGGACTTTTGCCAACAAGAAGAAACAAAATAAAATAAAATTACACATATAAAGTCATAACATTACGAGAAAAAAGTTCTATTACTACGAACTTGTTTTAAGTAAGTAATTCTTTAATATTGATGAAAAAAGTACGAGTACCACTGGCTGATTATTTTATTTATAACAAGACCTTTTACCCAAGTTATAAGTGAAATAACCTGCCAATGGAACTAGTTCTGAAATTATTGACTTAAAACCAGCTCTTAAAACCAGCTCTTATTAAAACCAGCTCTTATTTCTTGCTAAAAAGTTACTTGTAAGTTAGTTATTTCAAGTCCACTAAGATATTTTCCACTAGAAACTAGACCAAAAATACTTGGTAAGATTTTGTCTTTTTGAAGTGAAAGCTCTCTAGAGTCTAGAGGGCCACATAAAAAGCAATTTGGCCCCCAGACCTTCAGCTTGACACACGTTGTAAAGCACTGACTCATAATCCCAGTCAACTACATTAAAGTTTGTGTAAAAGTTGAAGGGGTTTTAATAATTTTGCAGTAATAATCTACACATCCAGAACCGCAGTGATACAGCAGTGACACTCCTCTGTATCTGTGCTTCTACCAGTCGTTTCCCTGAGCCCCCCCACCCCTTTGATTGGGCCCGTGGTGTTTCGGGGTCTGGCCTACTCCGCCTGCAACAGAGATCCAACCCTCACCCCTCTCATGCAGACAGAGAAGATCTCCATCTCCAGCTTCAGACCGGAGCTGCTGGAGGAGGTGAAGGACGTTCTCATTCCTGCTGAGATGCTGATAGTGCAGCACCACCGCATCATCGGGAAGGGTGAGAAGAACCACATCAAAATGAACGTCAAAGGGGTACAAAAAAAAAGTCAGCATTTCTCATTCTGTTTGTGGTTTTCCCCGCAGGCCATTTTGGAACTGTCTATCATGGTTACTTATCAGACTCCAGCAACAGAGAAACTCACTGCGCTGTCAAGTCTTTGAATAGTAAAGTCTGCCGTCGATTTAACAAGAGAACTAGAAAGTCAATCCTGTGGAACAAATTGTCTAAGCGTCTATAATGTGTTAGATATATATATATTTTTCAGTCTATCAACTTTCCAGGAATAACGGATGTGGAAGAGGTGGAGCAGTTCCTGAAAGAGGGCATCATAATGAAGGGTTTCCACCACACCAACGTCCTGTCTCTGCTGGGCATCTTCCTGCCGCAGGAAGGGCTCCCTCTGGTGGTGCTTCCGTATATGAAACACGGAGACCTGCGGCACTTCATACGCTGCGAGAAGAGGGTGTGATTGTACTGCTGCTACTTTAATGATCAAGCATTAAAACAAAAAACAACAGCAACTGCAGTACAGATAAAATTAATAAACATTCAAAATATGGAAAGACAAGAAAAAAAGATTAATAAAACACTACAACAGAAAAGAGCAAAAAAATCTTAGTGTGTCAAAGGTTGGAAAAAAATACAAAAACGAAGTCAAATATCAAAGAACAATTATTTTTTATGTATTGAGCTTTAGACTTTTAAAAGCAACTAAAATGAATCTTAAAATGAACTCAAGCAGCAGGGAAATGGCTGCATTATTTGATTGAATTAGTCTGTTTTCATGCAGCTATCTGCTAACCAATGAGTAATATATTTTTTTGTTGATTATTTTTTTCTTTTTCTTTTTAGAACCCGACTGTAAAGGATCTCATCGGATTCGGGCTGCAGGTCGCCAAGGGGATGGAGTATTTGGCAACCAAGAAGTTTGTCCACAGAGATCTCGCTGCGCGCAACTGCATGTAAGAAACTAACATCAGTCAGTGCTATTAGACCTCTTGCTAAAATCAGTGAATCAAGAAATGATAAGCTCACTGTTCTGCCTTCAGGTTGGACGAGTCGTACACGGTGAAGGTGGCGGACTTTGGCATGGCCAGAGACGTTTTTGATAAGGAATACTACAGCGTACAGGATCACAGGAAGGCTAAGCTGCCCGTCAAGTGGATGGCCATCGAGAGTTTGCAGACGCAGAAGTTCACCACCAAGTCAGACGTGGTACGTGGGATTAAAGAGGATGACACCGAAGAGTTAAATATGTTTATTCTAGATTTGACATATCTTGCAAAAGTATTCATAACCAATTAACTTTTTTTTATCTTTTATGTTGCTACCATTAGGAATGCACCGATATGGAAATTTGGGCTGATATCGATATCCCATATTAACATTGTTATATGGGATAATATACATATTTCACTATCCTTTTGACATCTTGAAAAAAAATAACCACATTGCTGACAATGTTTTTCTGCTTCAGTTAAATTTCCCGCAATCCTTTGCTGCATCAGCGTCACATGACCAAACAAAAACCACACGACAAACCATCTCTAGAAACAAAGGATAACAAGATGGAGATAAACATTGGTCATTCATGTCGCTCCTTTATTTATTTAATTGTTTATGGATTGATTTGTTAAAAAATTCTGAATTTCGGCCGATGTCGATGTTAGTACCGATATATCATCCTCAGTAGCAATCACAAACTGCAGTGTTTATTTTTGGGATGATAATATGTGGTAAACCACCACAGAATCATCCATGTTTGTGAAGTGGAACAAAAAATATTTATGTCCATCTTTTCCCATTATTTCTCATTCAAAACTTAGGATATTGTTTTATGATCTAACCTGAAAGTTTCTCCAGAACTTTGATCACTGAAGTTCTGAATTCAGTTCAATCTTGTGAATTAACTGTGTGTGGATACTTTTGCCAGAACCTCCATGTGGGACTCTGCATGTGTCTGATTGTTTGCTCCCCCCTGTTCTTTCCTGCAGTGGTCCTTTGGTGTTCTGATGTGGGAAATGCTGACCAGAGGAGCGAGCCCCTACCCAGAGGTGGACCCTTATGACATAACGCATTACTTACTGAAAGGCAGGAGGCTTCCCCAGCCACAGTACTGCCCTGACCCACTGTGAGTAACACGAATGATAGCAATTAGCCGCTAGCACTGTGGAATCCCAATAGGAAATAAAGTAAGCCCCCCATACAAGTGTAGCGCCGGAGATCTGGACACAAAGTCCAACCAGCGGAAACAAGCTGTTCAAATGGTAACCCAGTAGTGGTAAATTGTCCACTACTCTTGTTCTAACATGGTTATGAAATGTTGGGGAGTTAATGTGTACGACGCACTTTGAAAACAAACTCAGTGACACACTTCTTTGTTTTAGCAGGTTTAATGATACAATTTTTTTGCACTAAACGCTGTTCCTAGCAACCTTAATGACCAGGTTGAGAGGTAAAGCTAACAGTCGTTTCACATGTATTTTCCACCCAGGTTTTGTCACACACTCCTTCAACAAACATTCTCACAAAATTACACTAATCCGTTAATAAATTTATGACTACAGTTAGCTTCCTGCTTTTGGAGCGCTAGCATTTACATGCATTCCAACCGCGCCAGAATTCACTTTATTAAACCCAGACCTAAGTTCTTATCCAGACTAGAGTTTGCTTTTTTTTGGTTCGTATTTGAGTTCAATTGCGCATTCACAGATCCCCAAACAAACTGGACTTTCTAGACAAATGAACTGGATTTTGATTGAAGCGGACTAAATGGGGCAACTTGGGATGCACCGGGTTGCCCTGACTATTCCTGAACTGCAGTCAGAGGCCTCACAAAACCCCTCCTCTGGCTGCTAATAGCGCCTGGGCCACACCTTTGGACACCCCTGATCTACACTCTGTCCTCTTTTCTTTTTTTTTTTTCTCCAGATATCGCATCATGCTCCAATGCTGGGATCCTGATCCGGAGCTCAGGCCCAGCTTTGCCACTCTGGTTTTGGCCGTCTCCACCATCCTGTCGAGCCTGGAGGGAGAGCATTACATCAGCCTGAACATCACCTATGTGAACCTGGACCAGCCACAGCCGTACCCCGCTCTCACAGACTCCCCCGACGAGTATGACTCCACGGACGTCGAAGACGCCGGCTCAGACTCGGACTCTTCCTGATGCAGAAAACAAACAAACAAACAAAAAAACACTCTCCTCTGACACATTTGTGTGTTTTATGTCAAAGCAGGAAAAACAAAGTACCTTCTTACTGTCTGAGGACATGAATGTGATAAGAGACTGCAGGTTACCTGAACAACACCAAAAGCTGTTAGTTTTTCTATTTAATAACATAGGAACATTAGTCACGTCTCAAAGCTGCCTCTGTGGGTCAAAGTATCATCCTTTGTGTATTTTTCATACAGTGGCACCTCCATAAGTCAGAATTTCATTTAAAAAAATGAAAATAACAAAAATTCTATTTAAATAATTCAACACAAAAACTGAAACTCATTTCACTCCCGCGTATATATTTCAAGCATTTATTTCTCTTAATGGTTGATAATTATCAAAACGAAAAGAATGACATGGGTATGCCCAGAGAAATTAGCCGGCTGGTAAATCGCACCAATTTCCTTAAATTTTGGAGATCAGCCGATACTTACATGTGAAACGGATCATATCTACCTCCACAGAGGGCTGAAAATCAGCTACTGTCCCGTTTGCCTCTGCCAGCATATTCAGCAACTTTTCAAACAAACAAACAAACAAAAAAAAACAATCGGTATTGGCCAAAATCAGAATTGGCAGGTCAGGCTTTCAAAAGATTGGTGATCGATTAGAAAACTGCAATTGGTGCAACCCTAGAACTGAATGGTTGAAACCGATCACTCTGTATGTGAGGATATCTGAGTTTCCTCTTTGAATTTAAATTACTGAAATAAATGAAGATTTCTGTGATTTCATAATTGATTGAGTTGGACCTGTTAAGCATTTATAGCTTAACAACTTAGGAAATTAGAACATGAATTCAGTGTAATGCTTCCTTTTGCTTTAACTCAAAGACGTATAAAGAACTTTTGAAGGCCTTGATTTCATGATTTCATGCTATTTTTTTACCTTTATTATTTTATTCTGGAAATCGAAACAACAAAAAAATCTTGTGGATTTTTACCCATCAGTTGTTTCTCTTAAATATTATTTCAGTCACATTTTCTTAAGAAGATAAGACAATTCAACAAACTTTTTATTGCCATATGGATTCCATTTCATCCTCTCCTGATCCAAATTCTGGAAATAGTTCCTGATCAGACCTATCTGTTCTGACATATTGCAGGGCAGAATTGGGCCTCTAACAATGGAAATGTGTGATTTCCACTGTTTGCAGAATCTCATATTTTAGTATCTATCAAAAGTGAGTTTTCCTTCAATGATAAATTTCAGCGAGGGGGAAGCTGACCCACACCATAACAAACAACCTCTGCCAAAAACTGTTTAGTATTGGCATAGAGGTTTTCCAATATATAGAATTGATCACTAATAAGCTTTAGGGGGACATAATTAACCAAACACAAATGTTCTGACTTCTTGTGCTGTTTGTTACTCACCCGTTAACTAGCTGGCTATCTAACTAGCCGACTAGCACTGTTTTAATGTTGCTAAACAGCACAATAGTGTAGTTATACAGTACAAGTTTAACACATTACAGTATGTAGTGTCAATATACCAACAAAGAAAAAATATGTTAGTTTGCCAACATTTTTTTTTAGCACAGTGAAGACTTGTAGCATCACACTGGCCTTCAAAATCAGACTGCATCTTACTTAGCTAGCTAATGGTTAGCTTGATGGCTTTTTTTTAGGCGCTCCTAGCCATGTTTTTTTTTTTTTTTTTTTTTTTTTACAAAACTTCAAATAAAAGTTCTTGTTAGTGCTAATCAAATAGTATGGGAATATTTTTTACTTTGCTGTTTTCCTGTTATTCGTGTAAATATGACAACTGTAGTGTCAGTTATTCCACACAACGGCGAGTAAAATATTATTTTACTACGTGGTACACTTTTACAATAGCGTCACGTTAAATGCATTCTTACATTTTCTGTCTTTTTTCCCGTGTAAACAAAAGATGAGCAAGTTAGTCTGTTGATATTTCTGTCTTTGAAATAGTGTAATAAAATATTTATTTGTTTATAGGTTGGCTGTCGTGTTGTTGAGTTCTGTCTGGGAATTTCAACAAACTAGCTACGTTGTCTTCTCACACTCTAATTTCTTCTCCTGCGTCTGTGTGCCTGGTGTTACACTACAGCAGGCAACAGATTTCCCAGTTCTCCATTAGAGGTCACTAGTGTATCAATAAGGACTTCCTGGCACCGAATAGCTGCTTCCCAGCTGCACAGCTCAAGCTGTCATTTTGTGGGGTATGCTAATCATTTTCACAGCAGTGTTGCAACATGACTGAATCAGGTTTTCCGCCCCTTCTTTTGGAGACAAACTGTAAGCCCCGTGTACGGTTGTACGGTATTAAAACAGATGAGAGCACTTTTAACAACTCAATTTCTTCCTCTCTTCACACTATATCAGGACAGACCAATTTAAATTTCAAACGAATAAGATGTAGGATTGACCAGCCTGAAGAAAATCCCATCAATGTACGAAACGCCTCACCGACATGCAGTAGCAACTCCCTGCGATGTAAATAGACATCACCTCTTATAGAATCCAATCCTGACTCTGGACAAAACCGGTGGAGTGGAAATAAAAAAATCATACGTCCTGCTGCCAAAAACACAAGTCAACCCTAAGATACTTGATTTAGACAGAGTGAGCCAATCCTAACCAATCAAAAGCGTGTTTATATGTGAGGCTGGTGAGAACCCCAAAACCTAGACACCAATGTGTCTCCAGTTTCCTCTTCTGTTATTACATAAGTTTGTTGGTGTTGGTTAAAGTCAGACATTGAGTGAGGCTGGGCATTTCTCATAAATAAATATGGACCATTTTGAAACCTGAGCTGGATAAACCAACACATACTTATTGTTGTGTTGCATCACACTTTGCGACTGCACTCAGAGGAACCAAGGCAAGTTTTAACTGTACAAAATGAAATGTTTTCCCCAAATGTCTAGCTTAGCGTTAGGATTTTATTTCGGAGTAAATTTAGTCTGTTTTGTGTCTGGACTACAAAGAAGCGATGAGCTACGAGTTGTAGCAAACCACGAGTCGCCTCTGGCTCCGTCAGGCTGGTTTGAAGAGCTCTTGTGAAGAATACGTTTCAAGTCTTGCCACATATTCTTAATTCAATGTGGTTTGGGACTTTGACTGGGCCATTTTAACACATGAATATGATTCAACTGTAAGCTCTGACTGGTCTCTTGCTCGAATATCATCTGGTCTTTTCCAACCTCTAACAGGTTTTCTTCCAGGACTGCCTCGTATTCAGCTCCATCCAACTTCCCCAAAACATGACGCTGCCAGATTCATGTTCTACTAATGTTGCTCAACATACTTCTGAAACCTTCACAGATATTTTACGTCGACATTTATTTACACTCAGCTGGCTAATTTTTCTTGTTTTTAAAAAAATTATTTTTCAGTTGGTTGCACTGGAGTTTAATTTAGGCACATCAGAGTTAAAGGGGGTTGAATACAAACATATTGCTCACTTTTCAGACTTTGATTTGTAGTAATAATATTAACAATAATAATAACAATAATACATTTCATTTATAAAGTACTTTTCAAAACACTCAAAGACGCTGTACGGTAAGGGGGAAAAAAAGACCAAAAACAACAATAGTAACTAACAACAAGGAATCAGGAAAAAATAAAATCACCTTTGTGTTTTCCCAGTGCGTGGCAATTCTGGACTACTTTGCATTATTTAATTCCAGAAAGTCTCAATAAAATACACTTTGGGGTTGTAATGAGATAAAATGTAAAGAAAAAAGAATTTTTTTTAAAGCTTTTCCCCATCCTCTCCTTTGCAGATGTCCTCTTCCCTCTGTGCAAACCCCACAAAATGCAGGTTATTATTCCTACTACTAATAATAACATGTTTCCTCTCCACTCGTCCTGGCGGTTTATGAGCTGTTGAATTAGACGGCAGCCAGATTTGAGAAAATATAAATAACTTTTGCTGAACTCCTGTGCCAGATCTTCAGAGTGAGAGAGAGAGGAAATAGCAATTTGTGAGATTGGCCATGTGAATAAGACTTTCAGAAATTTATATGCTAATTATTTCTGTCAGAATGCCGCACTGGTGGCAGATTTGCCACCAGTGTTGATTCTGCTCCAGCCCTGTTATCACAACACAAACAAGAAAAACTCTGTGGTAAAATAATGTCCTTTAAACCCCCCCTCCCCCCAAAAAAACAACTTTTGTGAAAAGGAAAAGCGAATTATTCCCCGCTGTGTTAAAGTGTTTCATTGTGCAGCAGTGAGCTGTGTGTCCCGGTAAGTGTTTTCCTCTCAGCTGCTCGGAAACCGGCAGGTATTGTCAGAGGCGTGGCGCTTCATGCTGATTTTGTCAGAAAAGGCTCCCGAGCTCATTTTTCTGCAGGGAAAAAAGGTCCCAGGGTGGGTCTTTAGTCTTTATGGCTGCACAGTGTGCATGCCTGGGAGAGAGAGAAAAAAATCAGAAGGAAGGGTTTTGTAAAAGCTTTAAAAAAAAAAAAAAAAACAGCATACTGGGAACAAGTTTCCTGGTTTCCCTCCATTTTCTGCTTGATATTTACAGTTTAACTCAATGACTGGTTAGATTTGGGATCAAACATGCTTCTCTATCTCTTCATGTCGTGTTTAGAGCATAAATCATTGTCTGAGCTTCCTGGTTTATTAGTAAAATATAACCCATGAAGTCCAGGCTTGTGCTAGGCGATTAATCCGTTGTCTTCCAAAGATATTGCTGCAACGTGATGTCACTGGCATCTGTGGTGTAACATCTGGATGTAATAGAAACGATGCACAAGTTATGGCTGCACCAAGTCACCTTACGAGGAATACTGCAGACAGCACCTAGCATAAATTACCCCTGCTAAATCGGGTTAATGTACAGCTTTACAGCTACAGCCTTAATTGCTTGGAGCTCTACTTACACCTTTAGTTGTTGCTCAGTGTTTCTTTATGATATAAATGGCATCCGAACATGTGGTTGTAAAGCTGTTTACGACAGTTCAGTTTACTGAGCTCTGCGTTAGCAGTATTGACTCAAGAAGGAAATGGTTGAAAAATAAAGCAAAGAGAAATAGGATTTTTTTTTATTTATTTATAAAAATCTAAAAAGTTAGTTATGTTTTGGTATGAAGCTGTCCTTTGTAGAACCTTTGGCTACATTTGTAGATGCAAGTCTATGAAAGTAACTTAAACTAAATTTAGAAACTGAAATCTTGCTCCCACCATTTTTTTTGTGTGTGTGTGATTTGGATCACCATTTTAAGATACCTTATGTTTTGACTATGCCCTAGTAGCTCTGGCTGTTTCTCTGGGGTGCACTGAAGAAAACAGGTGATCAAACTTAAAAGAATTGAAACAATTTGATATATCAAATAAAGTTTATCCAAGCAAATATTAAGTTGTCGTGCTAAACAAACATAAATAAATTAAGTTTGACCAACTTAATTCCATTACATGTAACACATTAATACAAATTTCAGTTGGAGCTCAAGGTCACGGTTTCAAAACCACTCACATGCGGCGAACAGCATCAAGGTTTACAAATAGTTTTTTAATCCTTTCCAGATTCTGATATGTTCTTGAACTTGTTTAAATCTGAGCATTATGAATTGCTTTTGGAAATCTTTTTGGGTTTTTATAAAGTTGTTTCTTGATTCCATAGGCCTGTGTGTGGCAAGTGAAACGGGACAAAAAGTTGTTTGTTACAGTTAATTAATAATTAAATAAAAGGGGCCATTATAGTTACATGCCAAATTGGTTCGATTTTTTTTGGTGTAGTCTTAATATATTAAATAATAAATTAAATAGTAAATTGTATTTGCTTTTTTTTTAAAAATCTGGGATTAAAGTCTGATGATCTGACATATTTAAATAAGACAAAAAAAAGAAGCAAAACGTATGACCGTAATAGGGGTAAATACTTTTTCACAGCGCTGTACATTCACTGCCCAACCCTGTTTGAAACACTGAGGCAAGAAGTTATGTTCAATCCAAGTATTTATACCATTTCCAACAGTTTGCTTTTTCACCTTTGACCTCTGTCAACCAGCACTGGTGAGTCGAGTCTGAAGGAAATCATCTCTCCAGTGTTATTTATCTGTTTGCTCTTCATGTGAGGAACAGCATTGCTGTCCAGGTTATCTGCAGGTGTTCCATTGCCTCGATTTCTGTTATTCACAAGTGACTGTAAGTCTGATAAGACTTCATGAGTCGAGCTTATTTCAGTGGATCACTCTCATTCCAGTCGAACGCAATAATTTAAGACAAAAATAAATATAAAGAATGGCCCTGTCCATCCAGAAAGCCAACCATTTGCTGCGGGACTTTAAGTTATCTCCATATTTTAAACAGTGGTTTGGATTGATGATTCCCTGCAGCCATTAATCTTTATCGCGCTGCAGCATATCGCCTTGGCTGTCCCTCACACGGCAGTAAATTATAAACAAGGAAGTAAAACAGGAAAGTTCATTTATGCCTCCCCTGCTATGGTGAGGAGTATATTAAACCCCATAAAACTAAACTGTGCAGGCGGAAAAAAAACAACAACAAAACTTGCTGGGTGAAGGGAGTGCCAAACATGCGGACAATTAAGAAACCAAAAAAAAAAAAGGGGAGCCACAAAGAAGGGGAAAAAAGTCCTCTCAAAATTGCTGAAAATGTAGAAATGGTGTGTGCTCTCCCTTCATCAGGTCTGTATCCTGCTTTGAAACTGGTCTTAGTGACTGGAAGTCTGCCACAGGAGAGCACAGAAATAGTACAAATCCTAAAAATAAAAATGAAAGAACGTACGAAATTGCGGAAACAGGATGAGTCAGAGTGCTTTAACTGGACTGAGGTTCTGTGAGTAGTGCTGACTGTTGCAAGTGTTTGGCTTGTCAACAAGCCCTTTTTTAAATTCAGATTGTTTCCAGTTAGTGCCAACAATCTGACTAATAACCCCACAACAAAGTACTTTAATCACCTACT